ACGAATCTGGGAAGGACAGGTAGTATAGTAGTGAAGAACATGGCTTTTTCTCTCAGAGAGACAAAATATTAATTCTGGCTCTATGATCTACTAGCTAGCGACCTTGGGCATGTTACTTAAACTCTGAGTTTACTCGTTTTAACCCGTAAAATGAGAATATTGATAGTGCCTTCTCATGAAGCTATAATGGGAATTATGCACATAAATCCACCATTCTTACAGTTGGTATATAATAAATTTTCAGTAACTTATTATTTAAAGCCTCCAAACTCATGTATAAGGTGACAGCATCAACACAGACTCCTTCATTTCCTGGAATAATTGAATGGAAAGGGGGATGCCTTTACATTATACATAGGTGAAGTTAATGCATGTAAGGGGAAGTCTGATTTAAACGGCAGGTATTAAACCTGTGGTCTCTATTGTCCCATAAGATGTTACAGGATGAAATCAAATAGACTTAATAAAAAAAAAAAACTCATGGATGATAGAATTGTCATAGGCAATTAAGGGAAACATGATATTTGATATTTGTTCCCAAATTCATGGCGAATGTCAAAGAGAACGAAACTATCTTTTCATAAATTCTCTTCAGAGTCAGATTGTTAGACGGGATATCCCTTGAGGTTGACACCATGAAGGGAGTTCTCAAATTTAAATGGCTAACTGCTATCTGAATTAACCGAACTCTTATTTTAATATTGATTTTCCAATGACCATGGCAGATAACAATAATCAGAAGATGTTGAAGTTGTCTCCTGGCATTCCTGCAGCCACTATAAACATAATTTTTCAAAAAGACTCAAAAAGCCAACTTCTACCAGACATACAAAGAGGAGCTGGTACCATTCCTTCTGAAACTATTCCAAGTAATCCAAAAAGAGGGAATCCTTCCCAAATCATTGTATGAGACCAACATCATCATGAAACCAAAACTTTGGCTTTGAATGAACTACTGAAATATAAAGCCTTTGTGTTAGTCAGAAACCTTTGTTAGATTCCTAACTCAACAAGTGAGAGCCTACCCAATCGGTAATGTAGATGTAGTGTATTTTTAGAGGTGTCAAGGAATTTTCTCCAACTCATTAGAAACACAAATGAAATTACAAATTCCTGGAAGGTGTTGATTTGTTTCATGATTCCTTTGTAGACTGTTGTTTAGAACAAGAGTTCCAATCAGTGGTTATGTGAATACCAGTTACTAGAGTAGCCTCTCTTCATGAAATGCCTATGGGATGTGTAATTGAGTAAGTTATGGTAATCAGGAAGGGTATGAATTAGAGAGTTTCTATCAGATATCACAAGGCTCTGGCATCAAAAAGATACACTTTCAAATCCTAGTTTAACCACTTACTGCTTGATGAATTTGGGAAGGTTACCTAGCTATTCTAAATCTTAGTTTCATCATATTTAAATTGAATTTATAACACCTATCTCATAAAGGTGTGGTGAGCATTAAATGCCAGAAATTGATATTCCATCTTTTAATGATATGGTATTTAAATAGGCATCATTAATAAAGCTTTCAGCACAGTGTCTCGCATAAAGTAGGCATTCACCAACTATTAGTTCCCTTTCCCTAGATGTCTGCAAAGCCTCATTATATGCCTAAAGGAATGAGTCTTCTATGTATAGAGAAAACTGAAATTCTACATAGTCCTTCACCAGGTTACTATGAAGCAAGTGGGATTTTTGGAATATAGTCACAACTGACTTATCACTGAGCTGGCTAGATAAAAGAACCAGAGCTATGTAGAGTAAATACTAGAAATCAAAGAGCAGGAAGCAAGTCCAAACAGACCTAAGAAACACAGCTGGTACCAGGAAGATATACCAATAAGTATGAATGCTCAAAACCATAGTGGATGTAAATGATGGGACAGTGTGGTCTGGGTACTAAGACATGTTGACTAAGATAGTTCTCGTGACTCTAGTAAATGGTGTAACTCACTTCCGGGACTCTTGGTTTTGAAATGTGGTCATTGACTCTTGTCCTAAGATGACATTGAAGATCCATGACACTAAATTCTCTTGAAGGTTTTTCCATTCACTTGGCCAAGTGAAGTTTGGGCCATCATAGGGAGGCAATGAAACAGGCCACCAATGTGACACCATGAGATGTTAGATTTTGCCCAGATGGTGGTAGAAATTCTGCATATCCTAAGTTCTTTATTTTGCTTCAAAGATGACTATTGTGGTCATAGGCAAGAAGTTGTGAGAATCATCATTCTAGACATTATTCTAGAAATTATCTTCTAGAATTAAAAAAAAAGGGTGATGTTTGTTGCATCATCCTGCATAAATCTAAGGACAGTGACAGTATGGGTCTTGTGAATTGTCATCTGGACAGAATGGAAGTGGTGAGAATGAGGCCAGTCATACACTTCTCTTTCTCTAATGGTGTATTTCAGTGGCTCATGTCTACAGTCATGTGTTATGTTTCATCCATGCCAGATTGTTCTGACAGGTAGACTGAACTATGAAATATTGTAAAAGGCAATTGCTTATGGCAGGATGCAAGTGAAGGTAAATGCAGAAAGTGAAAATTGTAGGTATTTAGGAATTTTCTTACAGCTATAGACAAATGAGGGAGATGAGGGAAGCTGGCTGACTGTTGGGGAAAAGTTCCCAGGGAGGCCAATGTTCAGTAGACTTACTATGATTCACACTATGGTTCTGACTTTGCAAAATGAGAATCTTATTTTTGCAGTGTACTCAGAGGTGATTAGAATCAGGATAGATGCTATTTAAACCCACAAAAACTGATGTATAAGCCAAACACCAATTTATTCAATTATAATGAGAATTAAATCTGAAATAGGCTAGAACATTCATGTCAGCTGGTTAGCAAATTTTCTCTCCATAACAAAGTTCATAAGGGAAACTAATTACAATCAAATTACTTTGAGACCATGGAATCAGAGCAATGGGGTTAGGTGACCATCTTAATGACTGACACAAATTGGGATGGCCATTGCAGGGATGGACACACCAAATAGTCTGCTGGTCAACAACTCATCTCTAAATCTAAGGGGCTTACCAGTGTTCTTTTTATTTAAGTTCTTGCTTTCCTGTGCTCCATGAATACTATTCTCTCGCTGACAAATTCTTCAGACTTATCATAAAATGATTAGATTCTATCTCGCTAAGTGGCATCAATATGGAGCAGATCTGTTTCCGTAAAGCTACAATCTTGGTTGGACCTGGTGGTTCCCCAAGCCATTGCAGTTGTTGACTATATCTCTGAGTAGATTATAATTCATCTGTTGTCTGTAGATTCTAAGTAGTTTTACTTTCATAGAAATTCACATAGTTATAATTTCTGAGGACACACCCTTGTAACTCTCTTTATGCTAAATCATGAGTCATTCTAGTTGAAAAGGATGGCATATGATGGATGGTGTCACTATAACAAAAATTTTGAATGGGTAAAATAGGTGCTAGCTAGTAGATAGTAAAGCATTATTTATTCCAGCATCTCATTCATATGCTCAGTCTGGCTGTTGGATTGTATTGCATAGTGTACAAGAGATCTTTGATTTGGAATACCTCAATAAGGGACCCCCAGAAGTGGAGGGTGAACAGAAGTTCATAGCCCTAGATTGGTTACATTTTCTGAGAGGCTATGAAGTCTGAAGTTTTCCAGGGAAAGAAGGTAACATTGTTGCAAAGAGAATATCCAAACAGGAAATAAAGTAATGTATCTTTGGGAAAAAACCCAAAATGATGAATTGTGGCCCTAAAATAAGGAAAGATTGTTGATTAAGACAACTGAATGTTCCTCTCAGCATTCCAAGACCATACTGGGTTTGGTAAGGAAAGTGACCAGTGGCCATGAGTTTAGTTCTTTATTATAGAATTGATGGAGATAGATCAAAATAGTTCCAGGTAATTTCAGAGTCACTTTAAATTCAATAGCTCTACTTGTTAGAGGATCTCATACAATCCCAGTACTATAGTCAGAATTTCTTAGCATAACTGGAATATGTTCACTCAGGTCTCTGTGATGGGAGCATATAGAGTAATTTGGTTGTATAGCAAGCCGTTGTTAAAGAAAACCCTTTGTGAATGCAAATAAGATTGCCACAGTGGCTAGCAAGGCACTAATGGGTGAAAAGATTGGTTTGTTGGTGTTACGGAATGAGAGTAGTAAGGTTATAGCAGGTTTAAGCACTGTCAAAGTTAGCACAATTCTCCAGAAACAAAACCAAAGTACAGTGGCATTTCATGTTCTAAGATGCCTTGATGGTAGCTAGGGAATATGTGATTACTGATATTTCTCCAGGATATCCATTTTGGGGGCATACATCAGCAACAAGAAGCAGGGAACAGAGGGTTGTCAATTACCAGCAAACAGTAATCATTGCTGAGTAGTCTTAATATGTTCGGGAGTTGTGTCTTTCCAGCATAACACTACTTTTGTTCAGAAGCATCAGGAATCTATACACAGAGCTTGTGTGTACTAAGAGTACAGCCCAACACAAATTTGTAAACTTTCTTAAAACATAAGCGATAAAACCCCAACTTCCCGAGTTTTGTGCACAGATGGTTTCAATGTATGTGCCCCAAGATTTTTCAGATGAGATAGTTTAGGAAGTTGTTTGTCATTCATTATTTTTTAAGATCCTCAATTAGATGGGGGACACCAGAGGTGGACCATGACAGTAGAGCTCAATAGCAATGAACAGTAATCCTAGATGGTGACCACACTGAGGCTTCTAGAGTCAGGAACTACTTGAGGGTCTGGCTATCAGTGGTGATTTATTTGGCCAGATCCTCTGTCCAAGGCAGTAAGGACATGCTACAGACATAGTAATTATGAGGCGCCTTCCCCAACTCTCACTAAATACCTTTCAGAAATTCTTATCCTGGCTGGTCCAAGTGCAGTAGTGTTTACAACGAATTGATCACAACCAGTTACAGATTTCTTTGTTCCTTCTCCTCTCCCACTGCTTCACTTGACTAGCCTTAAAAAAAAAAAAAGAAAAAAAAAAAGAAATTCTTATCCTAGAGCATATTTACTTGGCTATAAGACATGATGGAACCTCAAGTAGGGATGTTAGAGAAGAGAGGAGTAAGCTGGAATTGGTGGTCTTGGCTAAAATATGTACCTGACTGATGGGCTAGCTCGCAAAAAAAGGGACCAACAGTTCCATGCAGTGTTCAAATGTCCACACAATCTGGTTTGTAAATAGCCAGGAGGTTCTGTTGGTTGGGAAAGCGTGAGTCTCTATATGGAAACAAAATACATGGCTCTATAGAAGGGTGGCAGAGCTGTGGTTCCAGGAAGGTTGATTTATGCTGAAGCTAGATCCTAGTCAATAGGTGAAGCATGGTCCAAACTCTAGGAGGAGAATATTAGCAGAATATAGGAATGTCATTTGGACTTCAGCCAAAGGTCCTAAGCCAACAGGAAACTAGGATACAGACAAATAAGGGTGAAAGTGAAGTCTTGGGTTCAATTCTAGGCACACAAGATACAGGACTTGGGCCAAGAAACTCAACCCAGATCTCCTAGATGGTGACTACATTGAGGATAAGGTTCCCAATGCACTTCCATGGTTGTTTTCAGTGGCTTAGACTGGGCAAAGTTTTGCCTGCAGGTTTTTGGTAGTCTTGGAGAATGAATTCCAACTGCAGAAAGTGCCTGTGAATTGTTTTCATCATTCTTGAGTTAGGTTTGGTGAAGGGTCACTTGCCAATGAACAAGATCTGATTGTTTAAATTCTCCAAAGCATTTTAGTTCATAACTGCCTATAAAGTGGTATCACAGTTCTCCATTTGTATTTTAAAAGTTAATGCAGGGTATAAATTGGTAAGGATGGGAGTGAGAGGGATATAAGTTTAGAAAGTGACTTTCCTGATCTCTTCTTACTGGTGAGCTGTGTTATTTGTCATTGCTAGAGCTCGAGAACGTTTGGCAAGGCAATCTCTTGTGAAGTGGCCAGATTGATTGCAGTAGAGGCACAACTGAGTTTCTTGTTGGTAGGCTCGTTTGGCTGGGGTGAGAGGCAGCTGGCCTTCTCGCAGCTGCATAGGCCCTTTTTTGGGTAGTGGATCTGTGGGGCTAACGAGGGCTTGGTGTTGGATCAAGGAAGTTAACAATGGGAACTGGGTCTCTGACTGTAGGAGCTCTGGCCTGACACTATGCTTCTTGTCCAACTGAATGCACTGAGTGATCAGGTCTGGAAGATTGTCCATGATACCTGTGACATTCTCTTCATCCTGGTTGTGACCAGCTAGTGCCTTTTCAAACTGACCATTCTGATTGGTTTCATTACAGATCATATTTTGAGCAAGGAGCTGGAAAGTAGGAGGGTCCTGTTGAGAGGAGTTGTCCCCTTTGTCAACCTTAGCATTCATTAGAGGATTCATTTCCTGTTTTGTGGGCTCACCAAGTGACTGCTGGAACTCAAGAATAAAATTCTCATATTGCTTCAATAAGGTACTCTTGTCAGGCCCAGGTATGATCCCACAACTTTCCAACTTCTGAAACAGGTAATCAAAAAAGAGCTTGATCTGGGCATCATTTGCAGGAGTAGAGATCTGGAGAGCTGTCAAGTAGGTAGTCACCTGAGCAAGGAACTCTGAGTGATTGGCAGGGTTACCATGAAACTGTGTGAGATGCTCAAGTCAGTAGGATGCAGGCATCACTATGGTGGCCAAGACAGGCATGACTTGCCTCCTTTTAGCAAGGTTATCCAGGGTTGGATGCTGCATTTGAGGCTGTAGAATCAGATTCTCTGCCTGAAGAATTGTGCACTTCTCCATTATATCTCCTGGAATCAGGTGGGATTGAGTAGAATTGAGCACTAGTACTGGAAACCAATGAACAGACAGTGGATTTGCTCTGTGATCAGAGAGGCAGTATCATGAGGAAGTAGCCAAAGCTGTTAGCTATGAAGAAGACACTAGGAGATGCTAACAGCTGAATTGGAGAGATGCGAAAAAGTGTTGTCCACCACTCAATGTTGCCTCTTCTTCATGGAGAAGGCCAATGTCCTGCATTTGGAAGAAATAAATTACCTTAGAACACAAAAAGGACTTGGGATTAAGAAGATATATACAACAGTCACAGTACCTTTATCTCCTCCTTCCCTTTCCTTGTAATATAAAGGCCATTTGTCTCAGACCAAACATTTGTTCTAAAGCAAGCTTGGTCAACCTGTGGCCACATGCAGCCCAAGATGGCTTTGAATGCAGCCCAACACAAATTTGTAAACTTTTTGAAAACATTATGAGCAGCCCAACACAAATGCAGCCCAACATAAATTTGTAAACTTTCTTAAAATATTATGAGATTTTTAAAAGCTCATCAGTTATCACTAGTGTATTTTATGTGTGACCTAAGACAATTCTTCTTCTTCCAATGTGGCCTAGGGAAGCCAAAAGATTGGATATCTCTGTTCTAAAGTATCATTTTTTCCATCAGCGAATCAAAAAATTTGACAACCCAAAGTGATCTCAGGAGATCATCCAGGCAAAATTCATAATTTTGCAGATAAGAAAATGAGACACAGAAAGGTAAAGTTATATTCAAAGGTCACACAGTTAATATCACGGCTGGCATGCTCATCACGGCTGTTGTCCAAATGGCACTTCCCCCAAGACCATAAATGTGCTCATTTGTATACACTGATTGGACATGATGATGGTTCAGGCAACTGGCTCTTCAAAATGTGATGTGGGAACAAGTGGCATTGGCACTACCAGAAAGGTTGTTAGAAATGCAGAATCTTGGGTCTCACCCCAGAACTACTAAATCATTTTTCACACTTTAATAAGATTCCCAAGGTGACTAGAATATGTGTTAAAGTTTGAGAAATGCTGCTCTAAAGAGCACTTAGCTTGAGTTAGAATAATCACTGGTTGGACTTGACCACTAGTGCCCCAAGCCTAGCCTGCATTGCTGTAGGGATATGATTGCTGTGATGGCAGTTAATCCATGTTTTCTATCTTTCTAGTCCCTGTCTGAGGTCACGTTTTCTTGCCATGGAAATGGCATGCAAGACTAAGAGTTAAGGTTGAGAACCTAGCAAACAAGAACTGAATATTTTTTAAAGTAAAAAGATCAAAATGTTCAACAGTCTTCCCAGCATTGATAACAAAAATAAAAAAGTTAAAAACAACCCCAAACATATGATAGCAGTTGAACTATTCTGCACTTCAATTGCTCTCATTGCCCTTTCCTTGTGTAGCATACTATTTAAATGAATTTAAATTGTCCATTGGTGGAAAAAATATGTATCATTGAATCTTCTAAAATGTAAGACTTGACTTCCTTAGGTTTTATTTGATGGTTCCTTTTCTCTAGACCTATGACAAAATTATTGGCAGACAAATAGTATGAGATTGGAGGCCAGAAACATGAATCCAACCACTAGCATTAATCAGTTGGATGACCCTGAAGAACTCATTTGGGTCTTGGTTTCCTTTTTTACCTAATGAGGATTGCTATTTTGCTTACCTCAGAAGGTGATTATATCAATGATATAAGAGAGTGGTGCTCTGAGCAACAAAAAATGAAAGATTTACTTCCAAAATGTTTCCAGTGTAGATGAAAAATGGCTGGTGGTGAGACTCTGCCCTTACCACATATTGTCGAAGTAGGGAGATACTATCATACCCTTCTTTTTAATTTCCCACCTTCCACTTCCTAGGGTGCCCATCAATCAGTTCATTTTTGCCATTCCAGCTATGTGTCAATTGATAGCTAAGATATTGTTCGATAAGGGTTAATGATTGGCTTTTCTCAGGGCATTTACTGTTCATTCAAAGTTTAATGTTATAATAATCAACTCAGACCCAGCCCCTAGCAATTCTGATTCATTAAGTCTGGGATGGATCCCAGGAATCTGTATTTAACAAGCTAACCAGTTGATTTCTGATGCAGGTGGCTCTTGTGCAAAACACTGTCCAGATGAATCTCAAAGAATAAAGCATTATTAGCAGTATCACAGAGAAGTAGAGATTAGGAGAGGACATATTTGGAGGTAGAAGTCTGGCTCTCAAATAACAGAATGGGTGGTACCCTGTTCTACCTCCACATAAAGCACACGAAGAGTCCACACTGTCTTTCACTGCTGCTCATCTCTCCCACGTGGTACAGCTCAACAGTGAAGCATGTCAGTTCTAAACCCAAAGTGACTTGGTTTGATATATGAGCTTTGTGAATCTGAGAAAGTTATTTAGCCTTTTTGAGAATCAGTTTTCAGATTTTAAAATGGACATGATTATAATACCTGCCTTCTAATGTTATGAAAATTACATGAGATGAAGAGAGATTAGCACAGCTTCATGCATATAGCAGGTTCTCCATACATTTTCTTTGAGACAGTTTCACTCTGTTGCCTAAGCTGAAGTGCAGTGGCATGTTCATGGGAGCCTCGATCTCCAGGGCTCAGGTAATCCTGCCACCTAAGCCTCCCTGGTATCTAGGACTATAGGCACATATCACCTCACCTGGCTAATTTATTTATTTTTTTGTAGAGACGAGGTTTCAACATGTTTCCCAGGCTGGTCTTGAACTCCTGGGCTCAAGCAATCCACCCTCCCAAATCCACCTATTTTGGCCTACCAAAATGCTGGGATTACAGGCATGAACCACTGCACCCACCCTCCATAAATGTTAGCTATTATTATTGCGGGTTCACAAGCTGTTATCTGTGTTTTAGCATTTAATTTTTTTCAGATTTTTAGAAAGGTAACATGGAGTATGTACTGTTTATTATATAATACCTTCAGCAATGTCTGGGAAACATACCATAATTAAGCCAGTAACATTCCTGTAGGAACAAGTGTCTGAATATTCATACTAAAAAGGATAAAGACTAAGTTCATGACAACTCAGGTCAAGTTTTGCTGACAAATGAGTTTTGGCATAAAATTAGTGAAAAAAAATTGCTTCCATTTTAAAGAGCTTTATAATTTCACAATTGAGATAAGAGATTACAGACCTTTACATTAGTGTAACCATGTACTTTGATTGGATACGTGAGATTATAAATTTTCCTTCCTTTCCTTGCCTTCTCTTTCCTCTACTCTCAGAAGTTCCAGAATCCATTGAGTTCTGTTTCTTTACAGAATTATGTATTCAAGGTGGTACAGCATTCAATTTTCCTAATCATGTAGCACTGGTGAAACACTTGCTAAGATGATAAGCATTAGCCCAAATGCAAATCATACAATGGCACAGTTGTTAGTGGCAATTGCTTAATCCCTCAAAGAAAATATACCTTGCCTTATCATTTTGGAAATTTTTCTCATTTTAGAGGTCAGTGGCCTTATATTGGATTCCCCTAGAGGATACTGGGACAAAGCCTGCCAGTCCAAAGGTGTTCCAGACCACAGCCTTGAAGAGACAAGGTGGAGACAGAGCCAAAACCTCAAATACATAGGCTTGAGGGATTAGACTTATGGGTTCAGGCAAGATCTAACACAAAACTGCATACATTTATCTTTTATTTAATAGGTATGTGTTTCAACTACAAAAACAACAAAAAAATGGGTTTGGTAAATTATTGGAAGTCATTTTAGTGTTTGTATTCAGACTGGCTCAAAGCCATAGTTAACAGTTTCCTTGAACAGAAAACTACTTTACTCTGGAGTCCCCTGAGATCCCATCTGGAGAAGAGCCTGCAGTACCCAGTTGCTTATAAAAAAGGTTTTTGACTTTACATTGTTTTAATTTCAAACTGTTCTACATAATCTCTTGGAAGAGGAGCTTTAACCTGGGGTCATGCAACTACCCAGAGCAGTTGTGTATTTCACTCTTGACCTCCAAACCTTCTGAGGACTGCTGTGGCCACAGAAGGTGAACTGAGACATAAATAACTCTCAAGGGGTGACCAGAAGGGCAAGCTGTTTGGACTTGTCTGGAGACCTGGGTATGGGCCTAGCTCTGCCACCATCCAGATCGACGGCCACACAGGCAAGTCACTCGCTGTCTCTGGGATTGTTTCTTTACCTGTACAATGAAGGCATTGGGCTTCCCAAACTTTAAGCACACATACAAAATTCTGATTCAAGATGATTAGCAGAAGACCCCCAACATTGAATTTGTTACAGTCCCTCCAGATGATATTGAAGTAAGAGACCTTTACATTTTACCTTGTGAATATCAGGTGACTGACCACACAGAGCACCAACATTTGTCAGAGGTTCTCAAATTTTAGGGTACAACAGAGACCCCTGGGATTTTAACATGCAGATTCTTGAGCTCAGTCTTGGAAAGTGTGATTCAGTGGGTCTGAAAAAGACCCTATCATCTGCTTGGTATGTAAATAACTGGCTCCAAAGGACTCTCATGTGGAGTACTTGTTCTTACAGACAAGGAAGAAGCCATCCAAAGATAGCGTTGGGAGGATGGGGATGGAGATGTGATGAGTGTCTCCATGAAGTAAGTTACCAGTTTTATATCATTGAGGAATAAGCAGAGCTAGGATTACCACCTGATGGGGAGTTAGAGTAGGGGGCTCCAAGGATCAAAGAAGAAGGGAATGAACAGAATCTGTTCCTTTCAAACCCATAGATTCTATAACTTGCCTGAGCACACCGCTAAAAAGTGGGTGAAGAGCTGGCTGTTAGTTTTCTGCAATCTACAATATGACCCTCAGACCCACAGCCAACCTGAATCTTACCCATTATGCTCATCATCCCTCTGTTCCTGTTCTTGGAGAAGATTCAATGACTAACATATAGCAATGGTGGTTTACCAATATGAGGACTTAATTTGATTTCTCCATTCCCAATGTGACCATTATTTCAAAAAGTACATGCTGTTTGTACATGTGCAATTGTACATGTTTACTTGAAAGTAAATAATTGCAGAAAGAGTGGAAAAATTTTGATCTGCAGATTCCAAATTGTCATATAATGAGCCCATAAATTTGAAATAAAAGGTCTTTTCCTGCGATCATGCTCCCTGCTGTCTCTTTCATCTTTAATTCATTAAGTGCAGTTCACTTAGTGCTGAACACCACTTGCAACTGATGAG